CGCCATGTGGATCACCTCCGGGGCAGGTGGGGATCGAACTCATGCGGAAGTGGCTTCAGCTTCTTTGTGCTGCGCTTTAACCCGCTGCGCCACCAGGGAGGGCCTAAAAGAATGATCTTTTAAGTTAAAATTTATTTCAGGTAACTACATGTAAATGAGAACCAGTAACAAAATTGGTAACATTTACTTTTAAACAGAAACTTGGTTTAGTTTTCATGTCATCCATCTATTTCCTGCTAGATAAAAGCCATCAAGTAGGATAATGGAATTTCAGGACATTTCTATAGAAGTCTTTGTAGTATGGCAACCTAAGCCAAGGGAAAATATCAGTGATGGGGTGGAGTTGGAGTATATTCTACCAAAATATGAAGGTTCTTCTTTAGTATGACAGATTCAAGCTCAGGGATGAGACTAGCTATTTTGTTCTGGCCCCAAGTACAGTAAATTCACTTACCTTAGATAACCAGCTCTGCTTATTGAACTTTGCTTAAACCTCACTACTTCACTAATCTCTTTAATTTCTAATAATTTGTAAGTATATTAATTTTGTTTTCTAGGTAGATACATAATCTTTTAAGTAATAATTTTTTTCCTTTTCAGTCTTTATGCTTTTTCCTTTTACCCTTTCTTCTTTTCCACTTCTTCCTGCTTTCTTCTTTTTTTCTTGTCTTACTGGAATTTTAATTAAAATCCCTAAGGATTTTCTTGGGCATGGGGTGAACTTTGAGTGTAAAATTCCTATAAAAGATACATTGGTAAGAAAACACAGGAACAGTTTCACTGAAGGGAGGACAAGGCTATCAGATCCTAACTTATATTGTAAAGCTACTGATTTGAAACCCAATTTGACTGCAAAACCTTACTTGAATAATGGAGATGGAGCTATTTTAATGCATTTTTATGTTTGTATGTTTGCATTTTGCTATTAAAATATTAGTGGGTTTGATTATGTGTGTTGCGTTGTCATTATCTAGTACTGCCTAGTACCTTTGGGACATACAATGTGATATCTAATTTATGCCATATTATTTTTATAAAATTTCTGAAATTGTGTCCTCTGAAATATGTTTAGTCTCAAGGTCTTAAATAAGAGTTTATGGGCATAACAACTTCCCAACTGTTAAAAAAATACAGTTTTGCCAACACATATATGCTTCTTCTTGTTCACTGGCCTATATATTTTGAATGCTGAATTTGGGGGAGGTTAAAAGGCTTGAAATGGACAAATGTTTCTGCAGTGTGTAAAAATGAAGATATGGGCTTCCTGCCAAGAGCTGTGCGGGCTGTTTGTCCTCACCCAGCGAACCCATCTTCCTAGCCTCACTGTGGATTGTTCTTTTTTTTCTGTGTTTCTTGCATGTCTTTATCACAAACGTCTCAGCTTACTGACCCCCTTGTCTGAGGTTGTCTTTGGTTACTGAAGTAGTCAGGTGGTGGAGGGCCTTCTTGGCAGGTAGAATTGAATATTGCCTATAATGTTCATCAGCTGCTAATACCAGTTGTAGGTTGGTACACATCTTTTCCTCTTCTTCCCTTCCAGTTGTTTCAAATTGCAAATTCCTTTAAATTGGTCAGGATGCCCCTGAGGAACTGGAGATTACCAGTATAGGGATTTTAGCTGTGTAAGGTCCATCCACTTTGAGAGCTGTGGGGGTTAGTGTCTAGCAGTACATCTGGGGGGGGGGGTCTGCTCTGGGGGAATCCCTAGATTCTGCAGTAAAAACTTATGAAATATATAGTTGCTTGAACTTTAGAAAAGAGTTTAGAAAACGAGAAAGTATTAATTACTGTCAGTACTACTTTAATCTACAATAATGGGGAATAACACATTCTGGCATGACCACTTATTTCTTTTGATTCTGTGGCTTCATATGTTCTCTGAATCAAGAGAAATAGCATCTTAGTTGGGCAGTAAGATTTCTTTTTATTGTTAGTATTGAAATAGTAATTAATCTTTCTTATCAGAACCATTGTTTAGGCTTTTATCAGTGTGTACACTGTAATTTGTGTGAATTGATTTTTGTGCACATTTATCAGTGTATTTTTTTTTTAAAGATTTATTTATTTATTCATACAGAACTGGGGTACAGGCCAGAGATACGGAGGGTGAGAGGATTCACCAGAGACAGAGCGGGAAGCAGAACAGGCAGGTCGATGAAGTACACTGCTGAGGGGAGCAGCGGGCGGGTCAGGAGAGGTCTGGCTCGCCATGTGGTCACCTCCGGGGCAGGCGGGGATCGAACTCATGCGGAAGTGGCCTCAGTTTCTCAGTGCAGTGCTTTAACCCGCTGCGCCACCAGGGAGGGCCTATCAGTGTATTTTTAAAAAATGTTGAAGTGAAATAGAATAGAAAAGGTAAGGTATTACATGTAGTAAAGGTGAACACTGGTTTCTGAAAATGTTGCAATATACAGTGTTTTTCTTGCAATCTGTTTGGGGTTAAGAAAGTTTCAGAAGTAGTATCTTTGTGGAATAGACAGGTATTCTAAACTGGTAGAGACAATGATGCTGAATTTAGCAGTATTTATGAAAGGTTACATTTGATGAGAACTCCCGTTTAGAATAAAAAAGTTAATCTTGCATAAGTGCTGTGAAGGTAATAGCACTGCCATTTAGGGCAACCCACTCCATTTTTTATTTCACATTGCTTGTAAGCTTTTTCTTATAATGAGCTGTAATTAACCCTGATTTTTAGTAATATTCATTTATTGGTTTATCAATACACTTTATTTCCAGATGAAGACCTTCCCATAGTTCTTCAGGTATTTTTGAAGGATAGCCATAATTCAGTTGTGGTATATAGATGTAGTGTTCAGTATAGTATTTCCAAATGAATTTTTTCTTTTCTTTGAGCTAAAAATTTGTTTCGCTTGTTTTTCATGAGCTATTGCTTTGAGTTCTTTTCCAAGTGTATTCGTATCTCATGGTGTTTCAGTTTTTGAATAACCTTCCTAAAATGAGACATCTGAACATGATTGTTATAGTATGTTCTTGAACTACTTTGTCATCACACTTACTCTAGACCAAGGATCTTGTAGACCAAGTCCAATTTATCTCATATATTTTTGTAAATAAAGTTTTATTGGAACACAGCCGTGTTCATTCGATTGTATTATATTTATAGGTGCATTCTTGCTATACTGGCAGAGTTGATATGTTGCATAGAGACTATCTGGCCTCTTACAGAAATGGTTTGCTGACCCCAGTTTTAGATATCGCTTCTAGTAATATCTTAGTTCAGCTTTTTGATAGCTCTGTCAGCACACAGAGTTCATATTGAGCTTATCCAATAAAACTAATTGTTTCACATCTGGTGTTATTAAATGAAAAATTAAGGAAGAATTTAGGGTTTCTTACTTCTCTACTTGATAGCTTATAAGACTTCCTGAAGGAGGTCAGTTTTCATTTTGAAGGGGGATACATGTCATAATCTGCTATGAAAATAATAGTCCATGTATAGTGTATCATTTAGGGCAAAGTTTTCAAATGTATGTTCCTGAAAAACTAGTTTTTTAGATAATCCTCACTAAAAGGGTGTTAAGTTTGGAAAACACGCTGCCTGATATCCCTTTCTTAAACATTTGTGCAACATGTACAATTATTAAATTACAATTATTAAAGACTTCAAGATGTCCTGAATATACTAACCTGTTTAGTGTTAGTTCCCATTTATATTGTGTGTGTATGTGTACTTGTGTGCACATTCAGAGTGCCTGTTTATATTTCTTGATGTTCTCAGGGACATAATCAGAATGTCTTAATCAGGATGTCTTTAGAAATTAGTGGGGTGTCTTAGAAATATAAGGAGTGACACTTAAAGGTAAAATGTAAGGGTGGTACTTAATGGTGAGGCTTGGAAACATCTTTTAAAAAAAGTTTTAGAAGATAATGTTGCTCGTGTTTTGACAGTATCTAATATGATGAGGGCATTAATATTCTATGTGTTTAATTTTGTAAGTATTAATGGTATCTTCAAAAGTCATTTTCAAAAAAGGTGATGCCAGTTTTTTTAAGTTATGGACTCTAGACTAATTTTAAGGCTTGTTCACAGTCTTGGATACTTGGTGGATGTTAGTTATTATACTATTTTAATTGGAATAATAAAAAATAATCAGAACTGTAGTAAATTTTGCATGGCAAAAGGTCATGCAAATGCCTATCATTATAACTCAAGAGAATATCAGAATACTCAAGCTATATAAATACCTATCCTATTCTTTTCATTTAAAGCTTTGATCTTATCCAACTACTCTCTTAATGTTTGTTTTTTTATGAGTTTAAATTGTCTTCTCTCCACAGAATCAAGTCACGGATACTAATAGAAAACTACAACATGAGGGAAAGGAAGTAAGGCCAGTTTACCTTTTGAAAATCGTTTCTCTTTCCTGTTAATTCTCTTTTGATGACTGCATTCTTCATTTAGTGACTTTAAAACCATAAAAGTTTATTGGAGGAATTTGGACATTATGGTTGCTTCTTTTATCATTGCTTCTCCTAATATGTATCTGAATTGCATGAATATAGCCACTAGAAAGCTTAATGACTGTGAATGTAGCCTTGGCTATTTTTCAAATCACCTAAGTAGTCATAATATTACCAGTATTGTTCCAGTATTGACCAGTATTATTTGGAATGTTCTTTCCTCACTTTTACCTACTTTAGGTCCTTAATGTGGCCTTCTCTAACTACTATATTTGAAATCACAGTGTTACTCTCACCCCTTTATTTTTTCTCTCACTTTTTTTTAATCTTTCTGCTTGATTTTTCTTCATTGTACCCATCATTCTCTGATAGCATATTTCTATCTATATATTTGGTTTTGTTTCCCTCCATTAGAAATAAAGCTCCAGGAATTTTAACTTGTTATATTCATTGCATTCAGGGCATTCTCTTGTTCGTTTTTCCCTGGTATCTAAGCAAATTGCATTTTCAGGTATGGGTATAGGATAATCTACTGCTGTGTAAAAATTATTGCTTTTTAAGGTTTGTCTTACATATTTTAAATTAAGTAGAGAATACAGTTTCTTATAGTTATATTATGATATGACTTCAGTTGGAGGCCTTTAAGGCATCTATAGGAAGAACTCTTGGAAAAGCCATAACTTTTAAGTCTGTGGTGTATTTGTTGAAATAAAGATTTAGCTGAAGATTATTTTCAAGACTCTTGAAGTCTAGCACTGATGAAAAAAATACAGAATCTTCTCAGAAGATTGATGAAGCCATGAATCATGGGGAGTCTGAAGAGGATTTGGAGAAAATTTGTATTTTTTCTTTTCTCCTGTATAGTCCCTGAATTTTAGGATTTTATTTGACTTAGCCTTTTCTAGTATAGATGTATCTTGGGGAGAAGATGGGAAATCATGTAGGAGTGTTTTACTGGTTGAGAAAAGCAGTTCCTTAGTCCACTTGGTAGGTCTTACGGTGAAACTGTCTGGGATTTTCTGATGAATTGAACATAGGGTGGAAAAATGTGACAGAGAGCTTTTTATTTATAGCTGTTGTCATAATTCAGTTTTTTCCCCCCTCTTGCCAAGCTGGTATTAGCAATGGAAGAGCTGAAGCAGTGTCGACTACAACAGAGAAATATTTCTGCCACTGTTGATAAATTAATGCTGTGTCTTCCAGGTGAGGAAGTGGAAATGGCGTTGAATTCTTGATAAAATTCCATTAGCTTTAATTTGCCTTTTAATTTCTCTAAATGCTTGTGTATTTTTTTTTTTCTCATTCTCTTCCAAGTCCTGGAGATGTATAGCAAACTAAGGGATCAGATGAAAACAAAAAGGTAAGATTTTTCTGTCAGTTTTTATTATTTAAAATTTTTGTTTCTTAGAATATTTTTAGAGTCCTTATTTTGCATAACCTTTCAAAAATAATTAAGTCCATATTATATCTTCCCTGGCCTTTTGTATCTCTTTATTGATTTATCGTGAGTTTTGTTTACATATACTAGTGGCATGTTGATGCATTTTGTCCTTGCTACTCGACACTTGTATTTTTAGAAGGCTCAGCCTTTTAGTGAAAAGAAACATATTAACTATCAATATTTTAATGATACCTCATTTGAGAAACATGCTTTGATTTAGTATTTGTAATAGAAAAAGTAGTGGTTCTGGTTCAGGGGTGAGCTAACCAGGGTTCTTCATTGAAACATAACTCTGAATGTGTGTGTGTGTGTGTGTGTGTGTTTGTGTTTGTAGATAATTGATTTATTTTGAGGGATTGGCTCACTCGACTATGGAGACTATCAGATCCAAAGTTTGCAGAGTAAGCTGTTAAGCTAGACTGTCAGGGAGGAGTAAATATTATAACCTGAGTCTGAAGGCAGTCAGCTGGCAGAGTTCCCACTTCCTCCAGGAAGGTCAGTCTTTTTCTATTAAGGCCTTGAATTGATTGAATGAAGCCCACCTACATGTTGGAGGATAATCTTTTTTACTCACAGTCTACTGATTTAAATGTTAGTAATCTCATTGAAAATCCCTTCACAGGGATACCTAGAATAATATCTGGGTACTGTGACCTCCTAGCTAAATTAACACATAAACTTAACCATCACAAGGGGCTTAATATCAAGGTTAAGTTCCGTGGATTCCTTGCCTGTTTTGTTTCTTTTTGGTTGTATGCCAGAGGATGCGAATGGTGACTTTTTGGCTTTCTTCCCCAGAATATAGTAAGCATTCCCATCCTCTCTGTCTTGGGGTATCTTGCAGGATGATGGGAGTGTGTGAACCTGTACAATAAACAGGGCACATTTTCTTGGTTAAAAATGTTACTTTAAGTACATTTTGAGGAAAAAAGCCTGAAATTAAAATGTATTAAATATTGCAGTAATAATAGAAGTGCTATGAATAAAAATTCTAAATTCTCAAGAAATTTGATGCTTAGATGTGAGGCATGAACATTTAGAAAATTTTTTTAGGATTGTTTCCCAGACTCCCTTTCTTTTCTTCAAAAGATATATTGAAATCAGATACACTAGTTAGAGTAATATGAGTTCTATGCAATGAGATATAAAAGTAATTTGATTTCTCGGGCAACCTTTTTATAAAGTTGCAGAATTACAGAAAATACTAAAGAATAAAAGGTACTTGTATACCAAATACTCTGAATTAATGGATATTCACTTTCTAGTATTTTGATTCATATATCTATATATTAATTTTTATGTTTATTTTTATTTAGAATAAATGAAGACATTTACTACCATCCATTATCTCTACCTCTCCTACCCTCTTTACCTCTGACAACCTCATTTTTGTTTTCACTAATTTATTTTTATTTTTTCCCCCATTTTCTTATTTTTTAAATATTATACATTGAAGTGAAATCATTGAATATTTATCATTTTGAGTGTTTTACTTTGTACAGTTCCTTCAAGTTCCTTTCATTTTGCTGCCAATGACAAAATTTCATTTTTCTTATAGCAGAACAGTATTCTACTGTATAATATATATATATATATATATATACACACACATATATGTATCTTCTTTATCCAGTTATTTATAATTAGGGACATAGTTTACACCCATATTTTAGCTGTTGTAAATGATGCTGGAATAAAGGCTGTGGCACATAAACTCTGACTTGATGATTTTATATTATTTGCATAGATAACCCAGAAGTGATGTGCTGGCTGACATAGCGCTTCTATTTTTAGTAGTGAGTAAGGTCCATACTACTTTTCAAAATGGCTGCACCTATCTATATTTTCACTAGCAATGGTGAGAATGAATATCCTTGCCTTGTTCTTTGATCTTAGGGAGAGTATTTACCATTAGGTATATATATATATATAGATGTTAGGTATAATCTCTCTATGTATATAGATGTTAGGTATAATTTTTTTTGCACTTGCTATTTATAAGTGTGAGGACTTTTCCTTTTTCTAGTTGTTGAAAGTGTCTATTGGGAATTAACTTTTTTTTTCAAATGCTTTTTTCCCATCTCAGTTGATATCATTATATATTTTTAATTTACTTTTAAATCTATTAATAATAATGAATTATATTGCTTGATTATTGAATGTTAAGCTAAACTTGCATTCATGTACTAAATCCCACTTGGTCTTGGCATATTACCCTTTTTATATGACTTAAAATATGATTTTTTACCATTTTTGTGAAAGATTTTTACATCTTTGTTCATGAGGAATATTGGTCTATAGTTTTCTAGTTTTTTTTTGGTAATGTCTTTGATTTTGGTATCACATTAAATGCTGGTCTCACAGAATGAGTTGGAAAGTATTTCCCCCTTGATTTTATTTTATGGAAGACTTTGTAGTATTGACCTTATCTTTATTAAATATTTGGTAAAATCTGCCAATTGGACTGGGAGATTGTTTCTCATGACAAGTTTTTCATCTGCAAGTTTAATTCAAAAAATAAATACAAGGCTGTTTGCATTTTGTGTTTCTTGAGTACACTTTGCTTATTTGTGTTTGTCAAGTAATTCATCTGTTTCATCCAAGTTGTAGAATTTGTTAACAAAAATGTTCACAATATTCCCGTTTTCATTTTATTTTATGATGTCTTACTATTTTAACATGTGCTTTCTTTTTCATTGCTTATGTTGATAATTTGTGTCTTGCTTTTTCTCTCTCTCGGTCTCAACCTAGCTCTGATTATTCTAGCTAGAGGTTTATCAAGTTTACTTTTTCCAAAAGCACATTTTTGGGTTTTATTATTTTTCCCTTTGTTTACTTCATCAACTATCTTATTATCTTTAGTATTCCCTTTTCTGGTTTGTGTTTGATTTGTTCTTTTTCTTGCTTTATTTTATAAGCAAGATTATAAAAGCACTGGATGCCCAGTGCCCTGATTTTGGTTCTCTCCTTTTTAATGTCATTAAAGCTGTACATTTTTCTCTGATTAGTGCTTTAACTGCATCTCATGTGTTTTATGATGATGTGTTTTTTCCCATTTATTTAAAATATTTTCTAATTTTCCTTGTAATTTAAAAAACTTAATTCACTGATTATTTAGAAGCAAATCAATTTCCAAATAATTGGGGACTTTCCAGCTTAAAAAAAATGGTTACAATTTCAGTTCATTGTTCATAAATATGAAAAGTTATGATTTTAGTTTTCACATTTGTTGAGGCTTGTTTTATGGTAAATATGGGGGTGAGGTATCTTTTTGAATCAGTGTTTTTGTGTCTTTTGGATAGATACCTAGGAGTGGGATTGCTGGGTCATATGGAAGCTCCACTTTTAGCAGCTTGAGGAACCTCCAAACAGTTTTCCATAGTGGTTGTACTAGTTTGCATTCCCACCAGCAGTGCAGGAGAGTTCCTTTTTCTCCACATCCTCACCAACATTTGTTGTTGCTAGTTGTTTGAAGATGTGGTATCTCATGGTGGTTTTCATTTGCATCTTCCTGATTACAAGTGATGTTGAACATTTTTTCATGTGCTTGTTTGGCCATCTGCATTTCCTCTTTGGAGAAGTGTCTTTTTAGCTCTTCTGCCCATTTTCTGATGGGGTTGTTTATTTTTGTTGAGTTTCATCAGTTCTCTGTATATTTTTGTGATCAGTCCTTTATCACTACTTTTGTGTGAGAAAATGTTTTCCCAATTAGTGGGCTGTCTGTTTTTTGTAATGTCTCTTTTGCTGTACAGAAGCTCTTTAACTTGATGTAGTCCCATCTACTTATCCCTGCCTTCACTATCATTGCATTGGGTGCTGTATCTTCGAAGATGTAACTGAAGTGTATGTCAAAAATATGGAATGCTTCACGAATTTGTGGGTCATCCTTGCACAGGGCCATGCTAATCTTCTCTGTTTCATTCCAATTTTAGTATATGTGCTGCCGAAGTGAGCACAGATGATGAATTTTTAATGTGCTTATTGGTCATCTGTATGTCTTCTTTGGAGAAGTCTCTATTCTAATCCTCTTCCCACTTTTTATTTACTTATTTTGACCTTTAACATTTGGTTTTTCTTAAATTGAGGAAACATTGGTTATAGCACTGTATGTATATGACCTATAGGAATAGGTTCACACTTTCAGATATATGTTATCATACTACACCCATCACCAAAGCATTCATAGCCCTTTATCATAGACCATTGGGCCTCTTCCTCCTTTGTTCTCACCTTACTTCCCCCTTCCTCACTAGTAGTCTTAATTCTGTGGATTTATTTCTAGGGTTTGTTTTGTTTCTCTTTATTCCACATATGAGTGAAATCATCTGCTGTTTGTCTTACTCCTCCAGATCCCTTTTACTTTGCATAATCCCCTCTAGTTCCATCTATGTTGTTGCAAATACTACCCACTTTTTAATTGGGTTGATTTTTGTAGTTTTATAAGCTCTTTGTATATTCTAAATATTAACCCCTTGTTTGGAATATGATATACACAAACCTTCTCCCAATTCATCTATTTAAAAATGTACAATTCCGTGACTTTTAGTGTATTCACAGAGTTGTATAACTGTTACCATAATCAGTTTTAGAATGTTTTCATCTTCCCCAAGGAAACTCTGAACTCTTTAGCCTTTATCACCATATCCAGTTCTATCAGCTGCATTTCCTTGCTGGCTACCATATTTCCTTTATGATTTTGTAAATTTTCCTACTCTAGAAAATTCATGTAAATGGAATAATACAATATGTGGTTCTTTGTAGTATCTTTTTTTATTTATTATTTTTTTATTTAAAAAATTTCTTATATTACTGTTCTCTCTTTAGGTATAGTCCCCATAGTTCTCCCACCACTCTAGAACCCGTGAATTATCACCAAAGTCTCTTGTGCTCTTCCCTTCCCCCTGTTGACTTTTTTTTTT